ATTCTCTCTGCGGTCGCCGAGAGTCCAGGAGACGCGGGAGAGGAAGGGACAGAGTTGTTGCGCGAGTGGCTAACAAATCCGGGTAGAGGTGGTAGTGGCCGATGCTCTCCGCTTGATGTGCAAGAATCAGTGCGGATGTGTGCTGGACGGCCAGCGGATGCAACAGAAGGTGCGTTTTCAGGCATGGGGCTGCCATCATATTCGCGAGGGCCATCGCGCTGCACCAGGGGGCTCTCTCCTCTCCAGTCGTCAGGGCCGACAACAGGAGTCTTATCCGTGTCCTCGAGCGACGCATCGAAGCTGTCACCCTCAAGATCAACGTGCCCAGGGTCGTAGAGCATGTTGTCATCATCGTCGTCGTCATCAGATTCATAACTTCCTTCCCGAGAGTTGGTGCCAATGGATGAAAGGTCAGGAGTCGCCATCTCGTATTCGTTGATCTGGGGAGGTGCAGCGTCAAAAGTCACGCTCTTCGCATGACGATGCAGTGAACGTCCCGGTGGCAGCTCGTGCTCGTCGCCGGGTGAGCCCGCAGACCAGGTGCCCGTCTCCATGTCGAAGCTGCTCTTGTATCGATGTGAGAGAGACGACTTTGTTGGCGATACTTGGTCTCGGCTCGGGGTAAGGGGGCGATTCGGTGACCCAATAGACTGGGGGATGGAAGATTTGGGTGGGCTCATGCTGAGAACGCTCGTCTTGCTTTCGCTTCGGCTGTGCGCGATGGATGGGCGTTCGTTTGCAGAAGCTCGGAAAGAGCCAGTCGATCCGAAAGCGTTCCCTTGGACCTTAGCGAGGGGTCTTTCAATCTGAGGAATCCGAGTAGGATCATATTCCTGCTTCTGCTCAAGCGCCAGGATGTTGCTGTTCCTGACTCTAGAAGCTCTCTGGAGACGCTCGATCGATGAGCGACGGTTTGGAGATGGCGACCCTCCTCGTCCATAGAAGTTTTCCGAGTTGCGGTTTTGCCAAAACAGTCGTGGGGACGTCACTGACTCGAGCGGCGATGACTGGAATGGTGAAGAATCGGGGTTCCCTGACTTCTGTGCCATGTGTGAGCAAAAAGTAAACAATGCAGACCCATGTTGACCACGTACCTTGGGAGAGCCGTTGGACGGCTTGTGCCAGCTGGGGGAGTTTCGCCGCATCTCGGTCGGCGAGAGCTCCGACAGCGGGCGAGGGATCCCGCTCGGCATCTTGGTAGGGGATGTGTTTTGGGTGTTCTTTGTGATGCGCAAAGGATGCACCTGTGCGAGTGTTGGTCAGAGACAGTTCCCCGGGAAAAAAGGGCGAGTGGCGCGGGTCAACATACCTGTTCAGTGGCCATGCTACACCCAGTTGGTTGATGGTCTTTTCGTGAGGGTGGGTGGACTATCAACGCATTGGTATGCGGAGAGGGATACAAACAAAGAAATGTAGGGGGAGGAGGATGTCGCGACTCGGCGAGAGCTGATGAAGGAAGGCAAGGTAAGTAAGGTAAGTAAGTAGTCGGTTTGGTTTGAAGAAAGAAACACGCCCTTGGTGTAGGTCAACAGACGACGGCTCTCTCAAAGGCTCGACGACCGACTCGACTCGACACAACTGAATATCTATCAGCGATGTTGCTGTCAAGAAATGCGCAGGTAGGTGGGAGAGTGCTATGGCGAGTTGATGTGTTTAAGGGAAGTGGTGTAGAGCCAGGCAGGAGACGGCGCTGATTGGACGACAAGAAAACAAACACGGGCTGTGTGCGGAAGGCGTCGCCTGGGCAACAGATGCAAGAGGCGAGCTAGAGTCGGACGTTGGAGACGCTAATCTTTCTGCTACAATGCGCCGGGATGCTAAAGGGACTACCCCGCCCCTGCTGCAGCGGCTCCTCTCCAAGCGCTGCAGAGAGCTGCCCTCCACCAAAGCCAGCGTCGCAGCAGTACTGGGCTGCTCGCTACACACGCTACACAGGCCCCCGTAGTCGCCATGGCAGCAACGCATCCAGCCGCCGTGCTGGCAGGCCTATTGGTTGGCCATTCTGGCATGATCCTTGGTCATGGGCAGCTACGCAGTGTTTACAAAGCTGGAGTCTTGTTGTTGTTGCCCAATTAAGCTTCCTCATCATGACGTTTACTTTTGAGTAACCCATGGAGATGCAGAAAGCTTACTGCACTGTACTGGGTCTTGTTGGGAAGCAAGTCTGATGTTGATGGGACCTGATCTCGTGCCCACATTCACATCCATCGCATCACACACATACAGAACACTCCATCTCTCTTCCAGCTTGTCGGAACTTGAGCAGCCTCGAGATCCCCCACTCCTCAATGGATGGCTCCGCTAGTCTTAGACGATGCCTTTGCCATGTCTTGCATCTCGATCTTCCCGAGCGCCAGTTGAAGTCATCTCGGCACTAGACTCTTCTTTGCCGGCATGGGTGTGGCCCAGACAAACAAAATCCACACTACCACACCCTACACGCCTCGCTTCTTTCGATCAATGTTTGTTTCTCCCACACTCTGGATTGTAAAACTCGGTCCTACCATGTTTAAGCGGGCTTCTGTGGCTTGCTCGTCTATCAGCAGTGTTGCTGCAGCTAGAGCATCCTCGTGACTGGACACCAGAGTCTGATGTGGTTTCGCATGAACATCTTATATAAATTCTCTGGCTCGAGATTGGACCCTGCATTGGCTCGCTGGCACTTTTATTGTCGTATTTATGCGGCCGTCACAAGCAGGTCGCATTGTCGGCCTCGCGCCCGAGACCTTTCAACGCCCTGCTGTGGAGGCTTTGTGAATGACAATCGTCAAGGTCGTCTATAAATGATTTGCTGTTTTCTCTTAATTCCCTTGTTTCTTGTTCCACTCGACGCAATCGTCAAACTTGACCCCTGAACCCCCAAAACAGTCCAATGCGCTCCCGATCGTGAGATCCACCTTGCCGTTGCTGAGCCGCTTCACGGCCTCTAGGTCTTCAAGGTGTCGACCACCGCCGGCATAGGTAACCGGAATAGTGCACCACTGGGCGAGCCTCTCCACAAGCTTCTCGTCGATACCCTTCTGGAGACCCTCGTTGTCGGCGGCGTGGATCAGAAACTCGGCGCAGTAGGGTTCCAGAGCCTTGATGGATTCTGTCTCTTGTCAGCCAATGTTTTGAGACATGTATCTAGACATCAATTACCTTGATTGACTTCCATGTCGGTGATTGTCTGCCATTTGTTCATTGCCACAAACCAAGAATCCTCGCCGCGACGACGACAGCTGAGGTCAATGACCAGCTTGTTCTTGTCACCGCCGAGCGCCTCTAGGACCGCATCCAGCCTTGCCTGGCTAAAGCGGCCTTCCGGAAACAGATAGGACGTGATGATGACCTGTCGGGTGAGCAGCTATTTCTCCCGTGCGAATCGGTCTGATGGCATACCTTTTCCGCACCTGCATCCATCCACTCCTTTGCATTCTTGTCGTTGATACCGCCTCCAACTTGAAGACCACCTGGCCAAGCTTGAAGGGCCTCCTTTGCCGGGCCATCGTTGCCTGGGCCTAGCATGATGACGTGGGCTCCTGAGAGCCCATTGTCCCGGTACAGTTGGGCGAAGTGAGCCGGAGGGTGTTGCGAGACGAAGTTTGTCTGCAGGGCCGAGGAAGAACTATCCAGAGTTCCACCGACAATCTGCTTTACCTGGCCGGCGTGGAGGTCAATACAAGGACGGAAGCGTGTCATGTTGAAGCTTGAAAGCGTCTATAACTTGGGGTGAGTCAAGTAACAATCCGCTCAGCAAAAAGTTGCAGACAAGGTGGGGTATTGGCGTTTTCAGATCGTTGTGCTACATATCCATGATGTCAATGAGCTTAAATGGCTCTCACTTTGTCTTGCAGGACCTGGAAAATTCATGTGAATGTTGGAATTAAAGTGATTTAATGCGTGTTGTGATTGCTCGTTTCTTTGACTGAGACGGGGAGTTTTTATCTCAGATTGAAATGGCTGTAATGGGCCGTGCAGACCGGGAAAACGCACAATCTCGGCAGTCATGGAAAGTTGATAGCCTTAGGACAGCGAGAATAAACTATGCTATGAGTCCCAACGCCGGAAAGACGTTTCAAGCAAGATGTCTTTATCTTTCTCTTATTATATGCCAACTATTATGGTGAATTGGCAAAATGTTAAGTTGGCTAATATCACAAATCCCGAGCCGTTCCCTACTGTTTAGATCTCATGAATGGCGAGCCCAGCCGTGCTAAGGCTGGGTTGATTAGTTAGTCCTGCCGCGCAGCGGCGGACTATGGTGTTGTTCAGGGAAGTTATTCCAGTCATTGTAATGCGACCATCGAAGCGAGGGTAGAGGGTCTTAGTCTCGCCGTTAAGCTCGTTGAAACTGGGTTTGTTCTCATATCTTAGTTCGTGCATCTTACTGCACATAGAAATAAAAGGAGAGAGGGGCTTTTAGCAAGAATTCATAGGTTTAAGTGGAATATTGCACTTTTATTTATGAAGCCGTAGATGCTCTATTTTGAAGTGCTAGCAGCCATGGAGCGGTGTCAACAGTACTGCTCCGCGCCGTCTCATTTATTAATAATCCCTAGTCTTTGAAAGAGCGCAGGGCATTGGAAAACCTAAAGGTGACAAGTGGAATATAGAGCATCATTGTGATATGGATAGTTGAGGGTTGACACCCCTATTGTTCATAACTAACTTGGTGAAGATTAAATACTCAATTATAGATAATGCTTTCGCGAATTTCTACGATAGAAATACAAACCTCTAGAACTAAGTGCAATGCCTGGAAATGGTAATAAATCACTATGAATCAGTTGTGTTAAATGCCATATGCTAAATGCCTGGCGAGAGAGCACGACCACTGAAACTCGGCCGACTTTCCTTCATGTGCGCTCCAAATTGTATGACTAATAACCTTGCTAAGAGTGGACCCGGAGAAGAATTCTCTGGATTGTGGGCGCCGCCCCAAAACGGCCAGAAATCCCGCAACTTGATACCAACATCCTGAGCACAAATTACAATCGTTTTCTTCAACAACAAGCAAGGGTCGAATGGTGTAGTGGTTATCACGTCTGCTTCACATCAAGTTCGCAGAAGGCCCCGGGTTCGACCCCCGGTTCGACCTGTTCTTTTGCCTGGATCGATCACGATGATCGGGCGATTTTTTTTTTTGGTGTTTCAGTAATTTTTATCCACACCACTGGGAAATTTATGCTCAGGTGGATAAGACGATAAAAGTAAGGGCCTTAGGCCCTCGACTTATGTAAAAATATATATGTATAAAGCATCCTAGGAGTTAAGCTCTGTGTGGCGGATCTGAGGCGAGACGAGCTGTCTGGCCACAACTATCACCCACAAGTGCTCTAACCAAAAAGAAATCATACAGGATGCGAGGATTGAACTCGCGACCTCACCGGAACTTGCGTTGATTACAACTGTGAACGGTGCGTGATCTTGGAAAGGTTAGTATCAACAGGACGTTTAAATTGGCAGACTTTAGTAACTTACAACCACTACACTAATCCTGCGGGTTATTAGGAGTAGGCTCTAGCATGAATACGTTATGTTCCTCCTGGGGAAACTCATCGACATACCACCAGTTGTTTATGTCCTGACAACGCGCACTTCGCTGGCTTGTCAGATGCCGTCATGACTCTCAATAGGAATTATGAGGGCATTTCAGCTGCTTGATGGTTTTGTATTTACAAGGTTAAAGCGCTAGGCATAGGACCAACGACAGGTCGTGACTATGAAATGCGCTTCATCCGCGACGTTGCCATTCTTTAGGTATCTTATTGTCGCGGTGCTGGAGGTGGGTTCCGGAATGTGGGGTCAGCCCTTCGGGGCAAACCCCACACCCGTTAACCGTTGCGCACGGCCCCACATACCATCCTAAAAATACCACTTCCGGGAGATGAGGAAGGTCCCTGATGTTGGGGCTGTTGCTGCTTCGGTAGGCAGGCAACCGAAGGTGCCTGGTGTGTGTAGAATAAGACAGTCAAAGGAGGTATTGTTGATATGGATGCGAAAGTGGAGCCCTGTGACTTGGTAGGTACATAGTTTGAAGTCAACTCCCAGTCTTCCACCTCTCCCCCTCGTTCGAGTTATGCCGGGAAGACCTGGCACTAATTGACCTTATCACAATCGTGTCTCTCCGACTGTATTCCCTCTGCCAAGTTCCAGTTTCGTTGGGAGTATTGAATGATCTCCATCTATCAAGTCAAGCTTCATCGTTATCTACTAGCCATCAATTCATCTCCAGCCTGCGTTGACCATCTGCCTTGTCCACTGGAGTCGTCAGGTCAGTGCTATGTAACATATCGGGTCTCGTTCGACTATTTTCTCGTATCTTAATACCCAGGATGGTTACCCTGTCTACAGCTTCGAGGCGGCTTTAAAGACACACATCACTTAGTGGAGGAACTCAGCTCGTAACTCAATTCATTCGGCCTGACCCTTGGACCTTTGCCATGGATTCTATCTTAGTAGCTTGTAGCCATATAGGGGATTGAGACTTTTGCTCGCCAACTTATTATGCATCCTCGGTTCGAAAACGCCTATTAAGTCCTGCCTTTATGGTATCTATACCGAAACTCCGCGCGTACACTCGTTCAAGTCGTCATCGTCATATCGCCCGTCTGATTCCGCTGGTAGGTATTTTCTTCCAGAGCCCTGAACCTGCCAACGCCTGAAAGCTTGGCTTCGAAAAGATTGATACCCGACGCTTATACTTGGAATCTGTATCGAAATTCTATGCGTATACCTTTGCTGAGTTCCTCATCGTCGTATCGCCCGTGGAGTTCCGCCGGCAGTGAAAAGTGTGTTGACTGATGCCTGGAATGATGATGGAAGGGATATTGGTAGGTAGGTATTTCTGCCAGAGCGGGACCAAAAGGAGGAAACCGCCATCCATGATGAATGCCAGCAAGCACCTTCAGTATCACTCTCCAACCTTGGCGATTCTTGCCCTCTTGTCTTGCGCTCTTTGTGGTAGATGGCTCGAAGTCCAACAAGCCGACATGGATGAGGGACTATAGGGCCAGTCCGTATAAGTGAGCACCTTCAACATCTCTCTCCAATCTTGGCGACCTTGTGCCTATCCAATGTTGTCCTGCGATCTTTGCGACAGATGGTTCAAAAAGCCCAACAAGCCGACATGGATGAGGGAATACAGGGCCAGTACGTGTGTAGGCATGCGGGTTAAAGGATAAACGAGACACCAGAACATTGTAAGAAATGACACCTACTTACCTACAGAGTAGTTGTACTTGTTGCGGGCAACTCTCGTTTACGTACCTACATAGCCTTAGCGTCAGAGGGAGCCAGCCGTAATGCAAGGTTCAAGTTTACGCTGGCGCTTCTTCTGTTCACGGGTTCTATTTCTTTTCTTGTGACGCGAAGGCTCCCGTTGCATTACATTGGCTACTGAGGAGAAGATATCATCCGTCTAGATGGTCCCGTGAAGAAACGATGTACTATAGCCGGGCAGTAGTTGCCTATAGCTCCCATTGCACCTTTCGCATATGTAGCATGTTCCCTAGCTCGATTAAAAGGCCTATGAAGCGTGCATGCCATTCAGAATGGGGATAATTCATTCAATATTCATGAACCGCCAGTGGCAACTAGTCAAGACGCGTCACTTGTGAGAGTCATGTAAATGTGGTCAGAGATCATTGTACTGGCTCAGGGTCTGATGCGTCAATTGATTGGGGGGCTAGGTAATCGCTACGGTTTCTCGTCCCCTCCGCCAAACTCGCCTCGGTTTGTTTCTGTTGATCAAGAAAGCCAAAAGCCCCTCGCTGCCTATCCCATACGGTCTCTGTGCCCTAGTATGCCAGTGGACGGGGGGCTGTCAACAACGCACGCATTTAGGCAGCCCTGCCGTTGAAAGACATACGAAAGCAATGAAACCATCGGCAGAGCGTTGGTTCTGTGGCCTAGGCAAAGTCGGCTATGCTGAGAAGCTGAGGATAGAGTTATCTGAATAGTAATGGCCGGGTACGAAAGGCGTATGTGTATGAGTTGTGGTGAACGCTGAAAGACCTTTCTAGGATTTCTCTCCATTGACTTCGAGGCCCCTTTGTCGATCCGATCATACGCATGTGTGAGTAGCTGGGAAACGCTTGTTGTTCTCGCTAATTCACTGCACGGATGGTTGACGAATGTTTGCACGTTGGCTTCCCCATGTAATGCCGGTAAGAGCTCGATATGCCGGGTGCTGGAGAGCTAGAGTCGTGCAAGAGACCAGTTAGCTTCGCTTGGCTGCTTCTGGGACGATAGTTGTCGTGGCGGATGAACGTTTGTATCTGAGTATCGTTGTGAGATGCTGACCCAGGCTATGTTTGGTAATTTCCGATGCTGTTGTGTGCTGGCGTATGCTCATTGTAGTAGTATCGGCTGACATCCGTATGTTTGAGATTCCTGTAGAACTGGAGCGGGCAACGAGGGAAAACGGCATGTAACATGTTGCTTGGATGTGACGTTGAACCGGACGTGGCTAGTGTGTCGGGCTTGCATTTGTCGAAGTCAAGGCAAACGGCCGCGTGAAACAAATGAACCTAGGCGTAGGCTCATTGGAGGGTAGGTGGATTGCTTCGGTCGGATATTGATTGTTTCTTAACTCTTGGGTTGTCGGGTTAAATTGTAGCCGCTGCAAATGCGGATCGAGTGACTTTGGGAGGTGTCTGTTAAGGCGGGCGGGCCTGGTTTGCTTCGTGACGTTAGCAGGATTGCCGTCGTTAGATCTCCCTCTACCC